GTTCTATTTAAATAAACATCACATAATTCTCCTAAAAATAAAATATATTAATATATTACTTAAAAATTAAATCAAAAATAATTTAAATTATTACCTAATACAAATAAATACATAAAAAATCCAATTGTTTCATCAATTAAAGTACCATTAACTGGAATAAGCATTAAATTATTTGAATAAAAAGTATGTAATGCAGCTCTATCATCTTGTTTATCAACATTAAGAACATCCTATTTTAAAAGAAAATGTTAAGATTTATGAGCTAATTTGAAAAGTTAATCATAACGTATAGTATTAATTCTAAGTGATAAAAGTTTTGCTCTTGAAAATATTTGATTTCTAGCTGTTTTCTTTGCATGTTTTAGATCTTGAATTCTAATAAATAGTTTACCATTATATATTAGTACCTTAAAGTGAATTTTATAGAAAGAATCTTTATATTCAAGAAAATTTGATGCTTTATTCATAATAATAGACTATGCATTAAACTCAAATCTGATATCATCAGCTTCAAAACTCAAAATATTCAAATTTGCTTTATATGCTATTTCAATTACTTGATGTATTAAATGTGCAATATGTTTAGCCCCTTCATTACCCTTCATAAGAATCATTACTATTATTATTAGCAGAACTTTTCCAATAGAAACCTAAATATAAATGATATAATTAATTAAATTTATTATTAAATATTATGCAAATTTAAAAATTAATTACATTTAATGCTATACTATGAACTTGTGTAGTAATTGTATTTCTTTCTAAAATATAATTAATTTTAGGATGTATATCTTCAGTACTTTAATAGTTGTTTCTAAATGCAGTAAAATTAATTCAGTAATATAGTTAAGTTCTTTAACATATATGAGTTTTTCTCATAATTTAGTACAATCTGTCATAACTACAATTAGACTATTCTAATTAATACTCAATATAATTTGTGAAAATTTTATAAAGTTTTCCATTATCAAGTCAAAATTAGTAATTATAATAGAATCTCTCCTACGAATTTGTCTATTTTTGTAAAATAAATAATTAATAATATGTTTTTTTTAATAAAACATTGAATAAAAGAAAATAATAACTACTGAATCCTTTAAATTGAAAGTTCAGCAAAAGCCTTTCTAAAAATTTTATACTCTTGGCTGTTCTCAGACAACAAACTAAAAAATGCATTAAATTTTCAGAATATCAAAGTCCATTTGAACTTTTACTTTGTAATTTTTTTTCTTTAACTTGTACCATTAAAGATACAAAATCAGTAAAAGTACTATTTCCATTAAATATACCACTTAAATCCATTTAAACTAATTTAGTTCAAAATTCTGCATCATTATTTTTATTATTTGTAGTGATCCAAATTTATCACAAGTTTGTATTTTTAAGAAGTTTTAATAATGATTTATTATAATAATGACAAGGAGTAAATTTAACAATACTATAAATTGCCCGCCTCTTAATAAATATTTTTAATTTTTTTTAAAATATAAAAAATAAATCAAAAATAAAATTAACATTAAATATATTATTAAAACTTATAGGTTTAATTGCTTCATTTAAACGTTTATTAGATTTTAATTCTTCACACTTATTACATATTTTACTTTCATTATATTTTTTTTTCATATTGTGTATGATATATTGCTAAATATTTTTTATCTAAATGTCAAGTTACTTCAGATTCTAAAGCCTTTTCAAATTCTTCTCTTTCTTTTTTATTAAGTTTTTTCTAATAAAAGAAGTATTTTCTGAAAATTTTTCTGGAAAAAGTTATTTTGCTACAACTTCAAGTCTTTACTATCCTTAAAGTTAGCAGAACTATTTATAATATAATTAATATAGTCTAAATCACAGAGACCTTGACACATAAAAATACATCTTTTTCTATTTTCATCATTTTTTTCATCATTAATATCATTCCCCTCTGATTGCTTTTTGAAAAAAATACATTTATACTTATTACTTTATGAATATCTTTGAAAATTAGAAAGTTGATAGGTAATACCAAGTAAAATAATTTTACCGCATTTACAAAGAACTTTTTTAGTATCAATAAATTCCTAAAAGTTTGGAAAAGAAGTAAATTGACTTTGATGTGAATCATAAGAAAGTAACATTTTTTTTATTAGCGATAAACTTTTCATATTAAAAAAATATTATCAGAAAATTTTTTATATCATAAATATAGATATTACATGATAATTGAAAATTTATAATTCAGCGAATCACACTATATGCGATAACTTTATATAATTTATATATTCAAATCTATCTATAAATGGTAACCAAATTTTCTGCGAATCTGATAAAACTGATGACTATACACATTTCATATCAATTCAAATCTATGATAAACTAATCACATTTTTTAATTTTATAATACTAATCGAATATTATTATGGCAGAAACATATAATAGAGTTTTTCCGATCCTCTTCTATATGTTAATATATGCTTTAATATGACTTAGCAAACTATTAATATAGTATTAATGTATAATTATTGTGAATTGTAACAGTTAGACAGTGTGTCAAAAGTTGTTTCTTTTTAAATCTATATAGTAAAATACGTGATTATACTAAATAATATTTATACTAAGTGTGAATATTTATATATAAATACTTATTATTAAAGAGTTACATAATTAATAGTTTACAATAAAAATAGTTTATTGATAAAATATAAGAAAATATAAAAAAGAAAATAAGAAATAATAAATAAAGAAATAAAGAAATAATTTAACAAAAGGTAAAATGTGATAAATGAAACTAAGTATTACTTAATAGCTTAAGTATATATGAATAACTAAGAGAAATTCTTCTAAATATAATTAAATCTGAATCTATCTAAAAAGTTTAAATAATGAATCCTATATATATAATTTCAAATATATAAAATAATATATTAACTATTTCAGCTTTTTAACAATTTCAACAATTTTAACTATCTTAACTATCTTAATTAAATTAACTATATTAACTATTTTAAATATATAAAATATGTTAAATATATCTAATATGTTAATCATATTGATTATATCAATTATATTATCACTTAGATCATATTATGTAGATTAGTCACATTTTGATCATTTAGTCATAGCAGTTAACTATTATGATGTTTCAATATCATCCTATTCTTTTTTAATAAACTTAAAATTTTTTTTTGAAATTTTTTCTTTATATTATTATTCTCATAACCTCTTTCTTAACATTTTTCTTTAAAATAATCTAAACATTCTCAATAGAATTAAGATCAGAGCTATAAGAAGGCTAAGAAAAAACCTGATCTAAAAGATAAGTTTTTAAGTCATCTTAAACATTATGAGAAGTATGTTTCAGATATAAAATCAAGATTTTTTAGCTTATGATAAATGATTTGTTTACTAACTTCAAGCTTTAGGTTTTTTACTTTAAGTTAAGCCTTCAATTTTATTTACTGTAGTAAAATGATTATATTTAACAATTATTCTAATTTAATAGCATTTTTTAGGAGTCAATTTTTGTAATCAATCAAACTGATAACCTATAGTAATTTTACCAAGTTTTATAATAAACTAACATAATAATAATAAAAATATAAAAAAATACCTGTTTTTTGTAAAATTTTTTTATATTTCAGATATTTTATTGTTAAAGAAGGTTAATAGCATTTTGATTTCTTTTAAAGGTGATTAATATTATTTTAAATAAAAAAAGAAATTCATTTTTTTTTACAATATTTTTTATTTATTTATTAAATGTTATTTATAAAGAACATTCTGGAAATATTAAAAAATTCTGAAATAAAAAATGAGCATGTTACAACTTAAAAATAATCTACTTATAATACCATTACTTTTACTAGTAACTGTAAATATAAATTAAAAATTTATAAATCTGTAAAAATTCTTATATTTTTTTAATACATTTCATTCATCATTTAAAAGAATATATTTATTAAGATCTTTATCATATGATGTTATATTATGCAGAGAATTTTTAAGTAAATAACTCTTTCTAATATCCTTTTTTACAACTTTCTTTTCCTTTAAATCATTAATCCTTTTTCTCATTTTTCTTAGTCTTTTCTGCCTTTTCATATATTCTCCTTGCAAATTCTAAATTGTTATATAGAAAGCCATTTTTAAAATTAATTTACTAGTTAATTCTATTCCCTTAGGATCATAGTAAAAATTTTAAAAAAAGTAACAAATCAAATCATAATTACAATTGAATACAATTTGTACAACTTGATCAAATCATGTTGCATCTATTTTCATGGATCAGTTTAACTGACTGCTGATTGATTTAATAATCAACCATTTAAGAAACTTGAACAGGGTTATATAATATGTGTATTTAAGAGAGTTAATTGAACTGATAAAAATTGTAATTGCTATTTTTTTCAGATTATTTTGTTGAATCGACCAATCAAAACAAAGAAATTTTTTACTAGTTATATTCAGGGATGATGTTTTTCTGTATTTCACAGAATTTCACAGGAAATCACAAAATATGAATGATAATTTTCAAAATTTTGGTCCGATTTATCATCATAATGCTGGCTGATATTAAGTTTGGCCAGAATTTGCGAATCGTAATGTTGGCTGATCTTGCATAATTCTGGCCAAATCACAGAATTTCACAGAATTAACTTTTATCACACGCAGAATTCATCCTTAATCACCGCAGAAAATCATCGTCCCTGGTTATATTTAGAATTATGATCGATAAACCGAGTCAAACAATTTATGTGGCTGGTGTAATTATCAATGGGCTCGAGAAAGCCGCAAGTTTTATTATATATTATTTAAAATCGGGAAATATTTCCTGAAAAAATTAATATTACTATTTTTTGCAATTATTATTTATTAAAAATCATAAAATGCTATATTTAACACGTGATCGTAAATTGATCACATCAACAACAGATTCCAACATAAATATACTTTTTCTATTGTCGCTTTGCAAAATCATATTATAACTAAATCTATTCTATCAAATGCAATGTAATCTATCCTTATCGAAGTTTCATAAATATAAGATAACATGCCTAAATATAAAATACGTAGATGTGAGTAAATTATAAATTAAACGAGGAAAAAAAAAAGTTTGTCCCTTACATGAATAATTGGTAAATGTTCTATATTTTCTTCTTCATCAACTATACAATATTCTTCTGTGTAATCATCTTTTTTTGTGATTCTTTTCTTATCTTTAGCGTAACCTTCAGGTACTGTTACCACAAGTTCTTTTAATGGCATTTTATCTTCCCCAACGGAATGATTTACATCTTCCATAAAAAGCATGCTAAGTGGCCATAATTTATTATCTGAAGTTCTAACGTCTTGTCCTCCAATAACAAAAAATCCTGATGGCGGTAACTTTTCATATGCTTCTTTTGCTAAATGCTTAACTGCTGTACGATAAGTCGGTATAATTTGTGAGGTAAGAAGATTGTTGGGAATATGTGGTACAACAATTAATGCCGTTGGCGTTGGCGGAGGTAAGGGCATACTATTTAATATTTTTTCAAGATGAGAAATATCATCTGATGTTTCTCCGAGATCACATTTTAAACCCTATTAAAGTTTCAATAAATAAAATGTATTATTAATCTCTCTCTCTCTCTCTCTCTCTCTCTCTCTCTCTAAACGATTATTTTTATCAATGTACAAATAAATTTTTAACTATTTACCAATGAAAGCAACATTTTCTGATTTTCTTTAATCCTTTTTTGTCTAATGCGCTCATATTCTGGCATGTTTTCTTCCTCACTATCAGTTTTGTCTAGAGACCAAATAATGATACATTAACCTCAGATAAAAAATTTTAATTAGAATAAAAGAAAGAAAATTACCTTCACATTTATGTAATTTATCACTTAAATTAACTGTATTATTTGGCTAATTAAAAAAAAAATATATATTATTTAAATATCTTACATTTCTAATAAGTATATGAATATCCTAAAAACTTTTACACTACCTCCATATTGTTAAATTTTATCCGAATTTCTTCCCAATTGGCAAAATCTCTACCAAACCGTTCAACCTATATAGAGTTAATCGTTAATCATATTTAACGAAAGTAATGTAAAATTAAATTAAGATTTTTTACATACCATTCTTGAGGTACAAAGTTGTACAAAATTATGTGTTTGTGTTGGCTTAAATGTCCAAGTTGTACCCATTACGACACTTTTTCGTGCAATAGGAAGAATTGGGATTTCTCGAAGATTCCTTAAAAACGTCACTGAGCCCGATAATGTAGATTCATCTGAAATTTTCGAAATAAATTATTTATGTTAAAGCATACATATGAAAATTTAAAACATAATGAAACATTCAATCAAATCATACCAGGTGTCACTAACAACCTATCATTATGTGTTTTGTCAACCTTCTTAAAAGTTGCAATAAACTCGTGTGTAAACATTAGAAAATCATATTGTACACAAAGATATGTGCCAAGCCCAAATGCTTGGCAATATCTCTGACGTTTTGCAACCTTGTAGATAGTAAATGATAATGGTGAATGAATGAAGGGACTTTTTAAAGTATTAAAATGACGTAAAAAAGTTGCGAGAAAATAAAATTACCAGCTCTTCTAATTCAAATCCCTGATCGATATACTGACGAAATAAATTAAAGCTAACTGGGACATAAAAGCAATGTTCTCGATTATCACCAATTCCTAAAGTAACTCTTCTTTCGGGCTTCAATAACCTTAAATAATAATTTCATTCAATCAAATAATTAATCAAAAAAAAATTTCAATGGATTCATATATTTACCTCCAAGATTCATCAATAACTTTACTCATTTCTGCAGCAAATTCCTTTGAGTTTGCAAATCTTGACAAGTCACCGTCAATATGTGTTGAATACTCAACACTGTTGAAAACAAGAGAATTAGAGCAACAAACAATTATAAATTCTTACAAGCTTGATTTTTTCTCACCAATTTTTATAGGGCGGATGACTCAATATATGATCAAAAGAATCGTCTTCAAACATAGAACCTGATAAATTTCTAGAATCAGCTTGAAGTATTATCGGTCGATGTTCGGCTGTGATACCCCTATTCGGTGGTATCGCGAAAGAGCAGTTCCGCTGGGACAAAGCAACTGCTGCCTAATGTGTTAAAAATATATATGAAATGATTTATTTTGGTACAGTATTATTAAAAAAGTTTAAGCAATAATAACTTACTGGGTTGATGTCGATGCCAATAAGTCTTTATAAATTGAGGATGTTAGTAATCTAAAATATACATAAGTAAAAATTGTTTTTATATCATATATATTTACCTCCTTCCAAGTAGGAAAGATTCAATAGCATCCGTTCCTATAACAAATGATTGATTAACGCTCAAAACAAATTTTTATAAAAAGTGTTAATTTAATGACTGCCAACCTCTCCCCAGGAAATTTGATAGAACTTTTCCGTTCTTCCTTGTAAAACGAAGTAATGCTCTAAGACAATATGAAATATCAATTAAAATTGCTCGTTTATCTTAATTCAATATTTAACTTAATCTGAATAGCAACTTACCTTCGAACAGTTTGTGGTAGCCAAGTGCCATGATAATCGGTACCACTATGCGTAGCCCCTAATTCCGATTAAAGTTGACATGATAATTAATACAGACAATAAAAAAAGCTTCGTGATTATAATTTTCTTGCATTTAAAAGTACTTACACCTTGGAGCACGACCCGGAATATCAAAATAAGAGCTATCAAAAGGCAAAGAAAATAATTGATTCTCTGCGGGTTCATAGCTATCTAAATGCATTGCTTGAGATTCGAAGTCATCAAATTTTTTGTCCGAACAGAAGTTTCTCGTCAAATACGGTTGGTATGAATAATCTTCGCTGGTAACTAATAATTTATCTTTCTCTTGATGTTCTCCTGCAGTATTATTATTAACCAAAACTAATTCAAAACAATCCTCACACATAAGCACGCCATTATAACCTATTATGTTCATAAAAAGTTCAATATATATAAAAATATTATGAAATATATCAGATACTTTAATGTGATTTTACCTTTCCTCCAACGAGGCGACTCTTCCGCCCAACAATATGAACATTGAATTCGCCCTCCTTTATTTTGTTGCGAATTTCTAGATTTCTTTCGCATTCCTAATAGTATATTTCAATAATTTTTAATACACATCAAATTCAAAATTATCATTGTAATGGATTTAATAATTTACCTGCGCTATGAGCCTTTTGATTTGCAACAGCAAGTGCTGCTTGTTTCGTGATTTGAGCGTCTTTAATTTTCTTAACAGCTGTTAAAAAGTAATAAATGTTAGATTCGTCGAAACTAACTATATAATAATATAAATACGTACATGTTTCTTCAAATTCATCTTTATCGTGTTCATGTTCAGGATACTTTTCTTCAAAGCACTAGATACATTTGAATTATGGTTGCAATTTTAATGTTGATATACTTTAGATTTAAAAATAAGTGCATTAATGATAAATGAATTTAATTACTTGTAAACACAAATCAAAAGATGAAAAAAAGTTCGACTCGCATGGCTTGCAAGTCATCCATCTGTCTTCTTGTAATTCACATGAACATACATCACAACGGTAAACCTCATTGTATAATTCTAAAGATGATGGATATGAAAGTCAATAATATTTTAATAAACCCACGAATAAAAAAAAAATTTTTTTAACTTACCTTTTTGAAGATAACGCGCTTCATGTGTAGGGCAATAGAAAATAACACCCATTTCAAAATGGGAAAGCGGTTTATCCGTGCATGAAAGATGATAACTTTTTGCACATTTAGGTTCGAAACATCCGATCGTTGCACCACGTTCCTTGCATTTACCACATTTCTAAGAATATATCATAATAAATTATGAGGAGAATTCGGAAATATAAGTGTTATAAGTATATAAATATGCATTTGTACCATGCTTCGACCCCTTTTCCAAGCCAATGTTACGTTATACCATTCATTAGATTTTGTAACAAAAACTTCTGGTGAATATTTCGCACATGCATGATGAGCCCAAAAAGTCTTCTGCTTTTCACCGTGACGTGTATAGGTGTTAGAAACAAAAGGATATGGAGCGATGAATCCACCAAGTTGATTTGAGTCATCGTCATTGCAAAAACCACATATTTTACGCATATTCCATGCTTGTAGATAAAGATATCCCATGTCCGTATCCAATGGTACATGATTACTCGTTAAATCAAATTCGGGATCTTTAAATGTTGTATCAAAAATGTCTTTGTCAAAAATTTTGACAACTTCGCCTTTGGAAGACATTTTAATTGCTTCATCATCGATTACAGTTTGAACGGCAAAAGAACAACGAGGATGTTCGTGATAATTTGGAAATTGATGTGCAAAACACCTAATTAAATAAAGAAATTCGAATGAATAATTGTAACTTAACTTAGTTAACTTTAACTAATCTGAAGGTTCTTACCACACACAGAGCTCAAAACTCCTATAATCGTTACCCTCTGATGGTGACTCACAATAAGTACAATAATATCTAAGATATTATGGATTAAAAATTCGTTTAACGTCGATTGTGCAGATTAATTACTTTTTAATAAAATATTTACCTGAACTGTTTAATAACCACATTGCATTGATTGCAATATATACACCATTTATCATCGGCTATTATAAATAAAATAAAATGTTATTTAACATGTTAAAATATTACGTTGAAGTTTTCATCATACAAATTACTAACCTGTAATTAACCTTCCATTAAGTGCGCCATTTACAACAAATTCCAAACGATAATCGTCATCATTCTCAGCTTTGCTTTTCTTTTTCTTTAAATCTTTTTTACTTTCCAAAGAAGTCGAGGTAGGTTTGATATTCTGTGTAATTTCATTTTTTGTGCATTTTTCACGAAGTCTTTCGCTACTTATATCTATCCATTCATCATAGAAGGCAGGAACATCATCATAATGTATTAATACCCTACAACCTTTAGCTTCAATAATCGTTGCAGGAACCCACTCCTTTAATCTATCTCGTGCTTCAATTTGATTTCCTGGTTTAAACCGTGATTTTAGCTTAGCAAGAACATCAGAATTACTTAGAAGTTTGTCATTACGAAGACTGCGACGCGTGTCTCGTCCAAAATAATATTCATTCCAATCAAATGCGATCATGGAATTTGTTGAAAGGTCACTTTGTTCAGAAAATAAATCTGAATCGCATCTTGCTTTATTATTAATTACTTTTGTCGAATCGGTTGATTTTGATGTTTCATTCGAAGGAGTTATCGTTGAAGGTGGTTGCATTGGTCGTTTTGAATTGGATCTCTTTCTTCTTTGTGGTACATACATCATTTCTCTCTGTTCAAGCGTCTCTTTATCAACCTGTTCCAATGCCTTTTGTGCTTCTAATATTTCTTCAAGTGTCATGTCTCTCATTCTTTGGCTTCCTGCTGGGATCCATTCATCAAAATAATCGCTCCATCCATCAAAATGCACCCGAATACGTCCGTCCTCAACATCTACCATTATAGCCGGATACCATTCGCCGTCACGACTTAAAACTTTAACGCGTTTTTGAAGTTCAAAACCATACTGACCACCACGTTTAAAACGAAACGTAGCATCATCACCAAAGAGTGACCTACAATATGTACATAAGTCAAGGCTGCCTATCCTTTGTACATTTATATGCATAATTTTACATGATTCACATATCTTCTCTTCGGATGATTGGTTTTTCTTGCGTATCGTGTCCTTCTTACTGTCTCGTACAGTTCGTTTAATTTGAGGTTTACATGGTTTTATCTCAGTTTCTTCCCCACTAGAACTACTGAGAGTTATATAATTTGATTCGGACGCACTAAGAGATGATGATGACGAAGACGAGATGGATTCGGGACAACTACTTAGAGAATCAGAATCAGAATCTGGTACACTACTGAGAGATTCAGAGTCTGTACCTAATATCTCTTTCAGCTTATACATATTCGATTGATATTCTTTATCGCTATCGTGAAAACATGCGGAATCTTTCCTTGGTTTCCTTGATTTATCATTTAGATTAATAGATTTTTGCGGAATTTTGGATGTAGAAGCTTTTGATTGGTTATGGTTTTGATCAAGATTTTCTTGCTTATTATCTATATCGTTAGGTAAGTTATTTTCTTCATTTTCTGACAAGGCTTTCAATCTTCGACTTTCTACAGATATCCATTCATCAAATCTTTTTCCCCAACCATCAAAGTGAACCTTAATTCTGGATTTTTCTACCTTTACAATCCTGGCAGGATACCAAATCTTATCAATATTAAGTACTTGGACTTTTTGATCTAATGTGAAGGCATGCGCAAATGCTTTGACTCTCGTTAATTGAGGTGCGAATAATGGCACACACTTTGTACATAATTCAAGTGCGCCCACTTTCTCCAATTTATCAAATAAACTTTCACAAGAATTGCACTTTTTCTTTTTACGAATTATTGTAGGTGGTTGCGATCGAGGATTACTCTTCTTTTGCTTTTGATCAACAATTTTCTTTGTCGGGGTAGATTGTACTTTTTTTGCTTCATTACTTATCGTTTGTTTTGTAGCAGTTCTCTTTCTTGTTCGCTTTGACTTCGTCGAAAAATTTGTTTGAGGATCTTCTGTATCAGAGATAATCTCATGTTTTTCAACAATTTTATTGAATGTAGAACGTTTTTTAACAATCGCGACATTATTGTTTTGTGAAGAATTTTGTATTTCAAGTATCTCTTCATCGCTCATTACTCTCAACCTTCGACTATCCTTTGATACCCATTCGTCATATTTAGCATCCCAACCATCAAAACGCACTCTAACTTTAGTTTTATCTATTGCAATGATCGTGCCTGGATACCAAATACTATCAACGTTAAGAACCTTAACACGTTGATTGATAGAATACCCTTCGAACTTTACAAAGGCAAGATCTTTTATGCCCTGGCGTGTGAAAACAGCTCCAGCAAATCGATCTTTTCCACTAATTGTTGAGTTGGTACATGCATTTGACGAATGATGAGGAATTTCATTATCTTCATGTGTGACTTGAATTTTGGGTGAGGTAGGTTCTTCAGTTTTCAGCTTTAAGTTAGTGCAGCATCGCTTATCACTACATATATAACCGAAATCCATTTTTGAAAATGAATTGGTTAATTCCGCCGTTGAATCGACATCTAATTTCGAATTATCGGTAAATTTTAAACTAGAATCTATATATTCTGGTAAATCATCTACAATTATAAAAGAGTCGTCGGAGCTTTCAGAAATGCTAGAAGTAGTAGTAGTAGTACTCAAAGCATTATCGTTAAGGGTTGACAAATTTTCAATAGAAAGATTTTTTTTGAAGTCGTCTCCTGCTTCCTTAACCGTAACCACTTGATTTGTTTCGCCACCCTTTTCTCCCTGAATTTCATTAATTTCATTATCAACAAGCATCAAACAATTCCCATTATCCGAATTTGAAATTATGTCCGTATTAACTAGACTTAAAGTCGGTGTTGATGAAACTTCCAAGTTTGAATTTGACGAAACAAATGAATCTTCCTGAGCATCATTAACATTAAGTACATTATTATTTATATTTGTAAGTTTAGGCTCCTCTTCTAACTCTGCCATTTTCTCTGATATGCCTGACTCTATAACAATTGCATCATCTGATGACACCAAATTAGACCCCACTACATTATTGACAGTCTCTGAATTATTAATAATTGGATTAGCATTATAATTTGAATTTTCTAAAGCAGCATTAGAAATAGTTATTGGAGGATCTTTAATGTCCTTTTCCTTAATGATCACATCATCTAATTCCATATTATCACAAGCGATTCCACTATCCCGTCGAGTGGAATTCTCGCATGGAGAAAGTGAATCATAAATTAAGTTTTCACTAGAATCTGTTGCTTCATCAATAATCCCTGAAATTTTACCTATATCAGAACTAAGGGTATCCGAGATATCATGTGACTTCTGACTTTGATTATAATCTGCTGAGTTTGCATCATGTGCACTTGGAACCGAATTGATCTCCATGTCCAATTTAATTTTCTAATAAAACAAATTATAATAATACGTTTAAACTCAAGCAAACCGTTTTTAAATCTCATAAAAATAAAAAAAACATTTAGAATAAATACCTTCTTTATACCATGACTTTCATCATCTGGTACAAACAATTTAGAGGATTTGAAATTTAACAGACCGATTCTGTCTTTTAAGTTAATTTCAATTTTATTTACAATTTTTTTCTTTGTAAAGAGTTTACGACCATCATTTCCATAAGTATGAATTGGCTTTGTCAATGAATCATTAGACAAAGGAATAATCGATGACTTTATATCATCAGAAGGTCGGATCCGCTTTTTGGATTCATAATTAATCTGCTTTGTGAGTTCGGATGATGACTCAGGTACAATTAGATTTTGATGTTTAACAACATGATTTATCGAATTTTCAACAAATTTCTTATTGTTTTTTTTATTCTTTTTAGTTTGCTGAACATTAGCTGATATATGATCGACATGCTTAATAACAATTAAAAATGTTTTGCTTATTTATTATTTTTTATACGGTTAAAAAACTGTTTTATAAACAAAAAAGAATTCAATATTACTTACATCTGTATTATCATTACCCGGTGCAAAAGTAGGAAATTGTGAAATTATAGGTCGATGGAAGTCTCTGGGTTGAGATCCATGTTGATAAAAGTGTTGCATGACTGGCCGTTGTGAACCATAATATTGGTAGTTATTAGATTGTCGAGGATAAATATGAGGATCAGGAGCTAAATGAGGAGGATATTGTTGCGGAAAATGACGAATTGGATAGGAATGTGGTTCTGGCGGAGCCTGAAAAGGTGAAAATGTTCCGGGAGGAAATAATTGACGATGTTGCCTATCGAAATGTTCCGGAGCATATAGATATTCCTAATATGCAAGGATCAAAAATTTTCAAAATTTTCAAATTTCGAAGGGTTACTTTTATTTGCGAAAAAAAAAATTTTTTTTTTATGTGAATACATACCATTGAATTTGGTATCGGCCAATTTGGCAAATTATTATGATTTGGCGCGCGCCATATTTGATGATGAGGATGATTTGAATTGACAGGTGAGTTATTATAACATGGTGAAGCCGAATAACCATTGTTTGCAAATTCGCTTATAAACTTTTGGTCTGGGGTATATACATATTGATTATTTACTGCTTCATCTCTATGACGTATGAATCCGCGCTTATTATTTTTCTTGAATTTCTCATGTGATTGACTTTGTGGTTTAAAATGAGGAGGGTTGATCTGATGTCCATTGTTGAACGTTAGTGCAATTGGCCTTTGTGGTGGGTAAGTTTGAGGAGGCGACGGCAATAAATGGGAAGGCATCACTCCTTTTGTTATAGGAATAGAGTTCAGACATTCATCAATAATTTTTTTCTTCACATTGAAGAATTCATTTAACAAATGATAATAACAATTTATATAAGAACGTACCAGGAGGAGCCTCAGTAGCATTGAATTGCCAGTTAAGAGGTGAAGTTACCTCGACGTTTTTCTTAAATTTCTCGTAAGAAGAGGGATACATGCTTTACTTGGTCAAAAAAAGTCTCGCGTTCCTAAACAAATATATTGAGGACATGAACGACAATTCTCTTTTCATTAAACGCTTTTCGAACGTACGAAAAGTTCATTAAAACCTTAGGTTAATACGTACCGACAACACACTCAAAGAGTTACGCGTCAGGTAACTGAAAGAAAGTTTATGATACCAAAAGTATTGTTTAATGCGTCAAAGAGACAACCCTCTTAACTACTTGTCGCTATTGTGGATAAAGCGTTATTTGCTTAACCCACAAGTATAAAATTCTTTTGAAAACTTAACCAGTCAAGAATGGAAATTCGGCTTGAAAACAGCACGAGGAATGCACGAGAGAAGTTCAAAGAACAAACCAGACCGGTTAAATAAAGGGGGAGGTTGTTCGTTCGTAAATTTCGAATCATTTTTACTATATAAATAAAATGCCGGGAAAATGTCGTGTAACTTTAACTGTAAAAAAAAATTTTTATTTAAGTTTTCACTTTTTTTTTTTTTGACGGCTTTTATAAAAAAAGCTACCTCACGCGTGAATGCGTCGCTCCTTTTTTTTTTTTTTTTTTTTTTTTTTTTTTTTTTTTTTGAATAGATCCATTGTTACTACCCAACTTCACAAGATCTGGGGGTTTAAAAAAAAAAAAACCTGAAATAAATGGCATTGTTAAAACTCTTCATCTCGATTTGCACTAGGAAATATCTTTGTTGAATTAGACTTACTAAATTTGTATAATTACAGATAATGAAATTTACCGGTGTAAAATCCTAATTAATCCATACCACAAAGGTTTTATAAACCTGTTTGCAAGTAATTTTGAACACCAAAAGTAAATTACATGAGAAACATTTCTTTTTTTATTTTATTTATTTACAATTACCAAGATCTTATATTACATAATATATATAATATATTAAATTTGTATCGAGTGATCAAGCCATAAAGGTATAATAACAACGGTCCAGAATTCCATTAATGACAAGAAACTTTTTTTCATTATTATTCACGCGTTATTATAATTTACGTTCTGCAAATCTGCAATACGCCACTTGCGAATCTCTGATCAATCTCGCAGGAAAATCTGACAAATTTTAAAAAATCCAACATATCAAGTACATTAAAATAATATTTAAGTTTGAGAAGGTAGAACTTGAACCAACATACATGATTTTTAAGTTTGATCGTTTCTAAAAATGTAAATCGGAAATTTTTTTAAAATCCAAATTCTGGGTAAATTACTAGAAATTTGAAATTTGTCGTTACGCGTGTAATGTTGATATGTGGATGCGAGATTATGTGCGGTCAATTATGAAATATGATGTAATAAATGCTACATTTATAATAATCATTTAGAAGTCTTTTCGATGAATAAAAGAAAAATTAAAAAAAAATAATTAATAATTCACCCGTCTAAACATGTCTCGCTTCTTTAAGAATTGGAAATTTTACATCATTGATATCAAAATACCAAAAGACAGGCTAGAAACTTGCAACGATCAAATAATTACCCACGGTGGACAGCTTGTAGACAATATAGAATGTGCCGATGTTGTATTGACTATCTTAAAAACTCCTATTCGATTAGCGCGATATGTACCAGAAACTCGGAAACCTATATGTTCTATTGACTGGGTTGCAGAATGGTTTGCAAATATCTTCTTTCGAAATATTGATATAGTCAAAAAAAAATAAAAATAAAAATAAATGTGTGATTTTATTTTCCCTCAAGTCAAAAAAATGGAAAGAGAGTACCATATGATGGTTATTTAATATCTTTGAATTCTGAAATGCCTCACGAAACTTCACGATCTTTCCAAAAGGATGAACTTGGTGATCTAATGATTGATATTAGTCAGTCTGAATCAAGCAGTAGCAATGAAAGGTAATTTTATTAAGAGAAAGAAATCATCGAATTCTTTTAAATGTTTTGATTTTGTTTTAATCAAGTCATTTTCCAAGGACTTCTTCTGATTTGGGACAAAGCTTTACTGATGAACAAAATTCGGATATAGAAAGTACATATATATTTTATATATATTTGAATGAATTCAAGTGAATATATGTGTTAGGGTAAAAAAAAATTATTTACATCCTCTTTTATTTAGTTGTAGACGATTTACATCCTCGTTTCTTAAACACAAAATACGAATGCTTTCGTCCTACACCACTTACGCCCGTACACAACCAATCTCTCGTGGAACTGCTCCAAGTGATAGAACATGCACGTGAATTGGATGGCGAAGGGAAGAGTGCATTGGCATATCGTCACGCGATTTCAGCCTTAAAGGTACTTAAACTTTGTCTAAAAAATGATGATCAAGTTTCTTTAACCATGTTTTACTTAGGTTTATCCATGCGATATTAGAAGTTACAACGAAGCTCGGAAGATAATAGGTAAAAAGATCATACCGTGTAGTTGATTTAATTGAACGTTATGGAAATAATTTTCTTCATTTTAAATTATTAGGAATTGGACCAAAAATTGGTAACTATATAAGAGAATTTTTATCAACAGGTAATAACGAAATAAAAAAAAAAAATTTTTGATTTACGCATTGCTTTAAAAATTAATACATCGAATTACAGGTTCAATTACCGAAGCCGAAGAAATTATGGCAAGCGAAAAATATCAAACTTTGGATCTTTTTTCAAGTGTTTATGGTATGTTGAAATAGTTTTCTCGCTTCTCTTGTATATAATAATCATATTTTTATTTTTAAAGGCGTTGGTCATAAAACAGCCTTGTCATGGTATCGAAAAGGTTATAGGTCAATGAGAGAATGCAATTGTGATCCGCATTTAACTCATCTTCAGAGATTAGGTTTGGAACTATTTGATGATTTTCAGAAAAAGTAAATCTTTTTAAAATCTTTTTGTTATTGTTGCGAGATTTCATGATGTATTATTATTAACTTGAAATCATTTTTAGAATGTCAAGACAAGATATACAAGAAATCCTAAATATTTTAGATAAAGAGGTTAGGTTTATTTATCCTGATTGTATAATAACTCCGGTTGGGGGATATCGTCGCGGGAAAGAATTCAACGGAGATTTAGATGTCGTCATATCACATCCTCAAGAGGAAGTCGCGAATAACTTGTTAAATGATATAGTAGAAAGGCTTATAGATTTAGGTATTATATAATTTTGTAACTCATTTAACAACTTTTATTAATTTCTAATTTGATTGATCATTTATTTAGGATATTTGAAACATAAACTTTTTTACGGACAGTTAAGTGCAAAAAATATTTCACACGTACATTTTTCTTTTCACAGAAATGTCATGGATAAACTTGATAAGGTAGAATCCAAATGATAGAATTTTTTTATCTTTCAAAAAAATAATATTTTATATAAAACACGCTTATTTATTAAATTATATTAGTGCTTTTGTGCTTTTATTCAACCAAGTTCACAAATATGTCGACAAGTAGACCTTATAATAGCCCCTTATTCTCAATATCCAACAGCGGTTCTTGGTTGGACAGGTGAGGAATGTCTGTTGTTCTAGTCACACTCATGCAAGATTAATGAAGTTTAATGTTTTAGGGTCGAGGCAGTTTGAACGATCCTTAAAAGATTATGCAAAGAAGGAGAAAAAAATGACATTCGCATCACATGGACTTTTCTCAAATGTTATTTCAAAAAAACGCATCCATGTAACTTCTGAAAGAGATGTTTTCAATATTTTAGGAATTCCTTGGTTAGAACCAGAATTGAGAAATTGTTAATTATTATATGTGTATATTATTTTTATTATTTATTCATGAATTTCGTAAAATGGGTTGATTACTAGGAAATTTTTATTGCATTTTAGTTTTTGATGTTATTAGATTAAAATGCATTAAGCTCTTTATTGTATCAAGAAAGAGCTCCTCAGACTATTTAAATTGTTGTTTACCTTGATTTGAAGATTGGAACTCTGATACGATTTTACCTTAATTTATATATATATATATTTATTTATTTATGTTTATTACATATATTACATATCTTTCATATAACCTTAAAAATATATTTTATAAAAAAAAAAAGTAAAAATTTAATAAACCATCCCAAATTTATACAATTAACACATTAATTTTTCATAATAGGTTAATATATCGGCGGTTAATGAAGCTTTTACAATTTTCAAAGCTTTCAAAAAATCAGACATGTTCTATATATATATATTAATTATAAGTTATTATCCAAATGTTAATGAAACATAAATACATTAAATCATATTGTTATTAAAAGAATTTTACCACATTTGACGTAGTTTTCATTTCGCGTAATGCTATCATTGCAGATTCTCTACATAAATTTTTAATGTCTGCGCCTGTGTACATTTCAGTCTGTATAAAAATATTAATACGCGTAACTAAAAATAAAAATTTATAAAGTGAGAAGTTGAATGGAAAATAAATACCTGTTTAGCAATAAAATCTAGGTCTACATCTTCATTCAATGGCATATTGGAGGTATGTATCTTTAAAACTTGTTTACGTGATTTAAAATCTGGAGGTGGAACCTTATAATTATATAAGTCTCTCGTTAATTAAAGAGTAAAAAGAGATGTATGATTTTATGATCACTTACATATATAAGGCGATCGAACCTTCCAGGTCGTAAAAGAGCAGCATCGAGCATATCTGGTCGATTTGTTGCACCCTTATCAAAAAAAGATTTAGATCAAGTAATTTGTTTTTAATTATGGTATTTGATTTATTTATTACTAACCATTATAAGAATTGATGTAGCAGTTTCAACGCCGTCCATTTCATTTAGTAGCATTGACAAAACGCGTTCCTGAACACTATCTCCGTTCCCAGTGCCACCTCTTTCACCCAATGATCTTTTTCCAACAATAGCATCAATTTCATCAAGAAAAAGAACAGATGGACTTGATGCACGTGCACGTTGAAAAATAGATCGAACTAGTAATTTAAGTCGAAAAATTGCTAGAAATTTAAATTTCTAACATTTATGGCAAATAATAAAATAAAAAATTTACTTATTTTCTCGGAATCTCCAACATATGGAGAATAAAGTTGAGCTCCATTAATAGATAAAAATGTTGCTCCGGAAACACTGGCTATTACCTAAATTATAATGAGAATATTAAATACAAATAGAATGACAAAAATAAAAAACAAATAATTATAACCTTGACTAGTGTTGTTTTACTACATCCAGGTGGCCCATACAAAAGAATTCCTCTAGGGGGTCTTAATCCTAGCTTTTTAAATGTATTCCGATATTTCAATGGCCATTCAACTGCTTGTTTTAATTTCTATGTAAGTTAAATGATCAAAAATTTGAGAGCCTTTAAGGATGAATAAATACAGCATAAGAAATATACATATATAATTCCAAAGCTCTGACCTTTTTAACCATATCTAATCCACCAATATCATCCCAATTTGTTTCTTCAAAATTAACTTGAAATCCACGTTGAATCGAAGGCATGACACATGATAGTGCTACCATAAAATCTTCCATGATAACATCGTTATTAGACCTAAATTAATTAATTTTGTAAATACGTGCCTCTTTCAATTTAAGCATAAAAATTAATGTATTATCCTTCATGCTTTGCAAAATTATTATCGGAAGCGCAATTTATTTGACGATGAACCGCATTTATTGCAGCTTCACGACATAGCGAAGCCAAATCGGCACCAACATATCCATTAGTCATAGAAGATAACAAACCTATTAATGGTAAATTTGAAGTTATTTTAAATCACTTTATAATTTTATGATATTAATTAGGTTCTTACCAATATCAACATCATTTCCAAGCGTCATTTGTGACGTTTTAAATTGTAATATTCTTTGACGGACTTTTTCATTTGGTATATCAATTGATACTTCTCGATCAAATCTAATTATTTTTAACATAAAATTATTCTATTAATGCAAAGGTATGAAGACCAGAACATAATATATATTATGATTTGGTCATATTTTAAAGTTCTCGTACCGTCCAGGTCTTCTTAAAGCTGGATCAATAGCATTAGGTCGATTGGTTGTCGCAATAACAACCAACCTGCCACGTGATTCCATACCATCCATTAATGTTAGAAGTTGAGCAACCACTCGAGATTCATGAGATTGCGATTCTACCCGATGCGGTGTTAGAGCATCCTAACATATGAAAAAAAAATTTTAACAAATTTTCATTGTGAAAAATCAATGATTATTTGAATTACCAATTCATCAATGAAAAGGATTATTGGATTATCTTCCTCAATTGTCATCCTTTTGGCTTGAGAGAACTTATTTCTCAAATTTGCTTCACTTTCTCCAACATAAGTCCCAAATACATCAGGTCCGTCTATAGAAATCTATTTAAGAGTAAAATATCTTAATAATATCATACACGAATCTTTAAATTATGCTTAATACACACCATTTTTGCGTTACAAGCCTTTGCGATTATGCTAACAAGATATGTTTTTCCGACACCGGGTGGTCCATGAAGTAACACCCCTTGAAACATGAACGAATTATATTGTTGAAAGGCAATATATATATATATAATTCTGATGGAGAGAAACCTCATACGAACCTTTGGGACATTCAATATTTAACTTTTGTATTATATCCGGATATAATAACGGGTAAACAACTACTTCAAAAAGTGCATCATAAGCTTTTTCAAGTCCGGGAATATTATTGGTAAACCCTTCTAATGAAATAGTTTGCAAAGATGACGATATTTGATCGATTTCATTATCGACATCTTTGTATTGTAAACTTTCAACTATTGAGATTTGACTTCTATTTGTAAAGAATAATTCGTTATTTGGAGATGTCCCGAGAATCTAAAGCATCGCAATGATAAATCATAAAGCAAATGTAAGTACGACATTTCGAACATTAAAGAACGAGAATATTGGAATTGTCAATACCATTATTTCCAAACCACGTCTTTTATCAGAAACAACACACCCCTTACATATTACCATTCCATTTAATATGTTTCTGATCGTCTAAATTAAAGTTTAGAATCAATCGAATAAAATTAAATTCTATATGTATTTCATGAAATTATTTACCTGAACTCTATTAGAATTCGATCCGTTCTTCCACAAAAATCCTAATCCATATAATTGCCTTTTTTCTTGATCTCCATCCTCAAAATCATAAAGTTTGATGGAAATTATAACTTCTTTTGCTTCCTGAAGATTAACTCTTAAGGGAAATAATGAGCCTAATATGCAATTCATATAATTCAGCAAAAAAAAAAGGGGGAAAAAAATTATCAATAACTTTGTATATTTCCATACATGATAGCTTATCCAGATTCGATGCTTTTACTCTTTTACTTATAAAATTATCAGCTTGGATTATTCCAGCTGGTACCGAAATTGGCCATGCACGACAATACAATGACTAAATTTTGAAGTAACTATATAAAATTATTATAATATTATCGTAAATACAACAAATATTTACACACCTCCGACACAGAATCTATTCAAAGCCGTAAGTAGGAACCTTAGAGCATCCTAACATATGAAAAAAAAATTTTAACAAATTTTCATTGTGAAAAATCAATGATTATTTGAATTACCA